AGAATGTTAGCGAACGTGCTGCTACACAATGTGATACCTGCTTAAAAAAAAATTAAATCCGTGGCGTAACAGCCCTCTGAGACCCAAAGCCGACTAGCTGGCTGCTGGCCTCACGTTCACATGCCTAAGCAGAGGTGAACGATCATCCGACCAGATATAGGATGACGTGTGGTCAGCACGACGAACCCCAGCTATTGCTAACTTTGCAGACCGGATTACGCTACCCATTGTAGCTCCCCAATTTCCTCACGATGCTGGATTGGTACCGGTCCCATACACTGGTCGAAAGCTCATGAGAAAATTTCTTCTCCCCCGAGACTCGAACCAGCGCGCATTCCGTATCGCCGGACCGAAGCATGATGCCTACGGCGCGGGACATGTGATACCTGCTACTCAACAGAATATTAAACCGATTTGCACTAAACATGGCATGCTTATTTCTCGAGTCCAGGAAGAGATCATATAAAGGCTAAAGGTTCTGCTTAATTATAACACTGAATGGCATAGGAGAAATGAACAGACGTAGATAAGAACTTGCATTTTCCATCTTTCCTATACTTAAGGATTTTAATTTTAAACCTTTCAAAAATAGATGAATATGTTTCCCACTTGAGTTGTATCTCTCCTTCCTCCTTGTGGCTTTCGTGAAGATGAAACACGGGCGCCACTTATAAAACAGACGGGAAAATACATTCCTCCTTGGCCTTTCAAGTGCCACGATGTTTGCCTGATCCTGATACAGAAGCTGTCGGTCTGTTTACAAGAATTATATTTGTCTCTCTCACTTGCTTTATCTTCGTTCAAGTCATATTATCTCCAAACAAACTTATTCGCTCATTCGCGCATTCCCTTTTGGGTTCAACTGTAGTTTGGTGTTAAAGTTTGGAAAACTAACAGAAATACCGTCTTCTGCAAGTTGAGGCGCTACTGTTATAGTATCTAGCTATCGGCTTACGGAGGGATCCTCTGACCCAGCCTATAAATTATCGCCATGGTACGGGCCTGATTCTAGTGGTTAAAGAGAGAAGTAGAAGCTGCTAAGGATGACGGGTGGTTCTGAACTTACAAGGACCATTTCTTCAATCTCTGCTCCTTAATGTCAATCAGGCGATAGAAATACACGAAGAAAAGTCCGAAGCGTATTTCGTTAAAGTGACCTCTCTGGCATATACAGGACAGTAATACGTGTGTAGATGATCTGTAGGCCTATATGAACATGTATGTTGATGGCTTAATTATAAAATACCTCGCGTCAAAGTTGACGAGAATGAATCTTTTCTGGTGTTGAGCAGTAATACAATAAATTATGAGATGATAATGTTGCGTCATATTGTGTTGAATATATACTTGTTCAATTTTTATCAGCATGCTCTAATGTAAATCGAACATTTCGATAGAGAGCATCATTTTAATATATTTTAAATATTTAAATGTTAATTGTAATAATATTTTAATATTTAATAATAATATTTTATTGTGATTAGACTGATAAAAATTGAACAAGTACAATAAATTGTATTATTCCTGTAAATTGCATGGACAGTACATTTATAAAATTCCTCAAACAGTAAATTAAATGTGAAATGATCTTCATAGTGATTGAAGCTACATTCAGAAAGAAAGAAATAAAGAAAGAAGGAAAGAAAGAAAGAAATATTGCGATGAACTCTTGAGGTTGTCGTGGAATATCGTGACCCTGATTTTAATCGCGGCCTGTGGTTGAGAATGGTTGTGCTATACGATTAACTCATCTTACTAAGTCGGTACCGACAGAGAAAATATATGGCGTCTTCCGTCAAATTACTGCAAAACAGAATCCATCTTACCGTATGTAAACTGGCTGCTGACATTTTAGTCTTCAAACTCAAACATTGTCTTATGCAGCTTCTCAAATAGCTCGTTACTTTACAGTACTAAAATTAGAATGAGTTTAAAACTGTTTTCGCATGTTAAACGAAAAACTTAAAATTAGCTTTAATTCCAGTTTCATTAAAATTATAACTTTATCCCTGTATGAAATTCAATTTAATAAATCCTCTTCTGATGTCATAAGCTTACAAAACATGCAACGCTCAAAGTAATGCTTGCCATAACCCAGGGGAACTGGAGTGTAAAGGGAAGTCGCTTTGACGACGTTTTAATCTGAACTACATAGGCTAAACAGCTTGTTCTTTCTGCAGGACATGTTCTGCGAACGTGTGTTTAAAACATGATCTTATATTTTCTCTCTCGTTGAAACCTGAACATCTGAGTGACAAGTATTTGTTTAGTATGAACTGAATTAATTCCCTGGGTTAGTGACACAATATGTAAGTAAGCCTTTAGAAATGGCTTACTCTGAATAAGAGGATTCAACTAAAGTTTAAGAAGTTTATAAAAATGGACGTTCCACGTCACCGACATAGTTTCTGTATTGACTTAAAACAGACCAAGACTCCGTACCTCGCCTGTGTCAGGACTTCACACTTCGTTTCTTTGTTCCGTCTTCAGAGCCGTCTTTTAAATACTCTCTCGATGCATTTCTGTCGTACTCAGAGAAGTTGAAGCTGTGCCCGTCTCTCGCTATCCGTTACGGTGAAGTAACCTAACCATTGGTTTCTATAATTCTTTGTTCTTTTTTGTACTGAATAAACATTTAGTTCATTTCTTCTTTATTAATTATAAAATTTGTTAAGCTAGTACTCCCTTGACATTTCTAAACATGAAATTTCGTATGCTTAGTTTTACGAACTATTTTCTGCTTTCCTCAACGCAGGCTTCATTGCAGTATAAATGTGTGATGACGCCATTTGTTTATAACATTTAAAATTGTCTCTTTATTTACTTGTTAATGTTATCCCACTTATTTCTTGATACCAATATATTATTTTCATCATGAAAAACTCAACTTTCCAAGTAATTTATATAATTTAAATTTGTCCTGTAATTTAATTCAGAGAACCGTTTGCAGCATACTGAGTATTTCCTTCATAAACCATTACCTTAAATGTTGTTTATTATTATGTGTCAGATTTTTCATCGAGGTTTTGTGAGATGGAAAACAACTTATGTAGATTTTACTCAGATTTTAGAATAAGACGATCATCGAAGGAGTTAAAATATGTAGGAAATATTTTTACTTTAGATTTATATCTGGATTGACTACGTTAAATTGTCTTAAGATACCATCCTGATACCAGTTATATAAGATAGGTCATTATAATTTTCCTGTCTCACTTCTAGTTTACAGATGTAATCTTAGAATTTTTAACCATATTTTTTGTTTCCTTTATTATGCTACAAACCTCCCCATAGCAACCGTGCTGTAGCTACTTCTCCGTCAGCTTGTAGTCGAGCCTTTATATGCCGAGTTATGGAATGAGTAGCAAAACACAAAAATACAAACGGAGAAATAAACAGAGAATTGAAATACGTTCCTGTACAGCTACTCCCGATGTTTACGGCTCAGCCCACACGATCAGTGCAAAGAACTTTCTCGCTAAATGCATAAAATCTGAAGGTTTGTTGGAAGATCGAAGATGTTTTGAACTGTAAGATTCCAAACAAATTGGGCGATTCTTTACGTAGAGTTTTATACAAGTCAGGATTTATGTCATTTCTGCTATGTATATATATATAGCTTTGTTTCTTGAAACGTAAGTCGAAAGTTATACTTACTCATGAGAGCGAAATATCAAGGACTGTGGTTTTAGCCTTGACCCTGTTTCTGTAACTAGACAAGTAAGAATCAGCTCCCTTTGAGATGAGCTCAGCACATCTAGCCCCAGAGAGTGTTATACGGACCCCAAGATGCTATCTCCAGATAGAGTGCTATCTCAAGTCCACTTACAGAGATCCACATTGAATACCTCGCAGCTGTGGACAAGAGACTGATACAAATGCATTTGTGACGTTGAAGCACTGAATGTTTTAGAAAGATTTTTTATTTCCTTTGTTCGTCTTCTACTTGCGAGTGAATAGATTCGCTAGATATATCACATACGTGAATTTATCTTTCACGTGTGAAAATATCGGCCCCGGATACGATTATCCTGACTGAGGTTTCTCGTGATTTTCCTCGGGCTCTCCAGGCAAGTGCTGGGATACTACCTTAAAGTGTACACGACCGCTTCCTTCCATATCATTTCAAAATTTATTGTTCATAATTTTGCTAAAGATCGATGGTTTTCAGTCTGAGATATTGACAGCGTAGTTAAATGAAACACGAAATAAATAAATAAAACATATTTTATGCATTGGGCATGTATTTTGTTTCGGATTTATTGGTTCATCTTTTCAATACTACTGTCATAAACACAACTCATCTAAAATTCATCTGTGTACAAACAAAACGAAGCAATACCATAATAAACGGTGTTGAATAAAGGTCACAAGTTTGCAGCTTTCTCTAACCGGAATTAAAAGCTGGTAAACAGTTTAGCGAGCGTTATATTTTGTTACAGTGATGGCCTTTCGATTACTGTAGTGTTTGTGACATCTAGTGATGACGTTCTGTTCAGAGGAATTGAAATGGCAGATCTCAATTCTCCTCCACGGTTTGTCGTGGTTTATTGTCGCTTTGAAAGAGTGCGTCGGTTATCTCTCCTCACAAATGGAGGCTGCTCGAACCTGATGATTTAGAAGCTTGACCACTGTGTTCTCTGAAACGACTACATTTTCCCCTTTGTACGTTTTAATATTAATACTAGGTTTTACATGTTGTGTTCTTGAACTCTGATATCTGTTTCGTAAAAGCTCCTAACCACGCAACTATTAGGTTCTTTAACGTTTTAGATTTGTAATCGGGAGGTATCTTTTTTTCCCCCCCCCCCCCCCCCATGTACTCGTAGGATATCCAAGTCACTTCCATTCACATTTTCACACTGAAACGTTGCATGCCTCCCTCGTCTCTCCCATGCAAGCCACATGCACTGCCAGCGTAACTTTCTTCATTTGATCTCGTGCCACTAGGTATCATTCATGTGAATCAGTGCAACGCCACGCCTGATTAATTTTCTTACCTGCAGATTCTGAAGAAACTTCTCAGTGAAAACTCGCCAGGCCGAAATCACGTCAGATTTCGGCCGCTACAGCTCACCATTCCACTGTGGGAAAAAAAAAACATCGTTTTATTTTAGCTGTAAGGTCGACGGACTTGGAAGAATATATTCTAGGAAACGTTACGCAATATAAATTCGAGTAGTTTAAGCCAGATTTTACGTAATGCAGGCACAGAATACAAACGATGATGATTAAGAGAATTTAAACGCAATTCTATGACGTCGTTAAATAACCTATAAATAAAATCAATGACGTCTGTGGGGTAATGTAGGTAATCTACGCGTTCTTAACCTCGGCACAAACTAGGATTACGGTCAGTTTCACGTTCCAGCTTTTTTAACCTCGGGGCAAATGCCCTGGTTACCTATTGAACTGCACATTGGGTGGGGTCCAGAGCTGCTCTGGGCGTGGTGGCGAAGAGAGGACACTGTACTCCTGCGAGGAATCGAAGCCCGGTCGTCAAGTTCTCAGCCAGTCTCAATATAAACCTACTGACTTAGCTATCACCGGTTTGTCAATTTGATAACAGTCCGTTCCTGGCCTTCCACAGAGTGTTCTAAATATATTTATACACATTTTCAATGAATAAAATAAAGACATTTTTATAAACTAAACCATTACATGTTTTAGCATGAGAACTTTGTGAATTAGTGATGTAATGCAGGTGTTCAAAATGACCACTGTCTAGGTCTTCCGCAAACATAACACGGATACCGACAACAAGGTTAATATTCCGTATTATAATGTGTGTACATCTTTTTGGGGAACCTGTATCGGGGTGGGAAGCTGGTAGTTCTATTGATGTACCCCTTACAAATTGGGCACCCTAGCAGCTGTAGGAAAGCAAATGAATACAATCGGATAGTTTTATAAAACTACAAAGTTCTTAATCGCACGCAAAGACCTGTAAGTTACTGTGGCTACAGCTGAGCCTTTGGAGCACAATAGTTGCCGCATGAAGGCAAACATCCATCCATCACCGTTATAATAACGTGTCTTGTTTCGCTCACGACTTGTCATACCTTGGAATTGTTGGCCTTTTAGTTAGATTTATGTTTTCCGGAGCACTGGTTGCAATTTCTTTCGCGATTCCTACCCTTGTGCTTGTTATCGAAGCGTAAAAAAACACCCCCTTGCTAACCCACCTCCCATCGCCCACTGACAAAAGGATGACAAATATATATTGCGACATTTTTCGTCAATAGAGTTTTAAAAAAAATATATGTTTAATCACGTAAATGTATATGTAAACATTCAGTGAACCATTTCAAGGTAAAAGTTGTAGTTACGATTTATTATATATGATTTCCGAATCAGAAATGGCACAATGGTCTTAAAACTTTCCGAGAGAAACAGAGGCTTTTGTCATGCATGTTGCGTTTTGTAGGCGGAAAGGTGTTTGGATGCTACAGTGCAGACATTTTGAGGCGCTGCTTAAAGCTAATCGGGACATTGTGTGTGGGGAAAAAAAGTCCTAAGCCACTGTCATAATCTATATATTTTACCTGATATCTTAATTAACGTATTTACATGTCCTTCAGTGCCTCTTCGGTTACTGTCGGAATACACAGACTGATCTACAAAAGTTTATCGGCCCGTAAATGGCAGATTATAAGCCTGAGTAATTGGTTCGTTGATTTGATAATTAGTTTGTTTATATGTTTTTCTGCATTTTTATGTGTTTATCGATTTATACACGGTGGTTCGGAAAAGATTGACTGTCCCTGAATATCAGTGTTAATGTGTGTATTCAGGCTTAATTGGTTGGTGGATTTATTCATGTTTTTATCACAACATTGTTTGGTTACTCTGTAGTAACACTTAAGTAACAGGCCTGGCGTATGTAAAGAAAATTTTTCGATAAGAGTCAGAGAGAGACGAATTTTGACTACATGCATTCCTCGCCTGCTATCTGCCTACTAGCTTCTCGACGAAAGAAAATTGGTATATTTTTAAGCCACGTAACTGTATAACTACAGAACATTAAATTACGCTTAGATAATTTTAAAAAGTTTTACCAGATACACAGAACCGGGTACCTCCAGAAAGAAAGTCACATGTGTTATAATACCTTTTAGCTAAGTTTATATCTGAATCTTTTCCGAGAATGGAAATGGTAAGGTGGTTATGATTTTAAATGAGATAAATCGAATCTATTGGTAGTCCTGATGTTTTGGCATATGCATGTTCTAATCTCAGCCTGGAAGTAGTACATCCAAACCAATATTCTTCTTGGTTTTATCCATTCCTAATATGAAATAGAAATGCTGGTCATTACATCGCGGAGTTAGGTCGAACTATGACTGAAGTATAAATGTTATGCCTGTGACAGAACACAGTTTGTGTTTGTGCGCGCGCGAAGTTCTATATATGTCCATGTCATATCAGAACCCGGGCTTAATGGCAGCTTACGGCTAACAAAAAGAATAAAAGACAGTTAACAAGTACGTTACCATTTGTCGTCTAAATCGAGACATTTCGTTGATAGATGACCAGTATCTTTCTTGCAGGTGTCTGTCGAGTTTTTACCTGTACTCGACTCCACTTCTTTTATGGGCAAAGAGAAGGAAAAATTTTGACAAGAAACAGAATAGACGAAAATTCGTTTGGTCAGGAAATCTGATTGGACTGAATTCTATTGAGCTGCTAAATTCCTCTGTCTCTTTTGTGTGTCAGAAATCCCGGCTCAGAGATAGGACAATAGTGACTCATGGGGGCGATTACATTATAGGGGCAGGGAAGGAGTTTAACGCAATTCTTTCGTTCTTTTCTCGCTGACGTGGCAACCTGAACGGTACAATACATTTCAGTTTACCTCGGCCACTGCGTAGGGTCTCTTTGTATTGCGAGATTAAATCCACGTGGAGGCATGTCATATCTGTATTTTACCTGAGAGGCCACGTCGTGTGCAGATCATTAATTCAATTGACGATCTAGTCCGTTTTCCCTCGTGGTTTTTCTTGTTTTCTTGTTTCTTAGTTTATTTATAAGCGATTCCTGGGTTTTATACTTTATCACCCGTGGAATGGAACGATGAATGTGAATTATAAATTAAGGTTGTGGAAGTAAGTAGACATGGCCTGCGTTAACACGAAGCAAACATTTTCCTGAAGAAGCTGTGGAAACTCATAAAAATCTCTCAAAATATCAGGTAATTGGGTCAAGATCGTAACTCGGGACCTTCTAAAATGTGATACATAAAATGATGACACAGGCGAGAGTAAACGAATTAGTGCCCTGTTTCATTTGGGGAGGGTTTTTTTTCCGACAAGCGTTTGCAACTAAATTTTTTGGGAAAGAAAATCTACTTATAAGATCCTCCATGTATGTATCTCTGCCCGTCCGTCTGTTCGTATATATAAATTCGAGAACCGCTGAACGGATTTTCATGAAATTATGTTGTTGTTACATCCAATTTTGGTTGAAATCGGACAAAAGTAACGGACACTTTGCATGTGGTTGTACACGAGGTTTTAACGCGAAAATGACGGGGCGGGCCTTTAGCATTAGGAAGCCCCAGACGAGAAATTTCCTGACATTCGAAAGGACACGAATTGCTGCGCTATGTCCACATTTCCGAACTTATTTCCCTTTCTCCTTGCCTTATACAATTCATTTACATTCTTCCTCTTTGCAGATAAGCCGTCTTCCTGGAATTCGGAATATAATAGAAGGAAAGTGAATATACTTTTATATTATGGAAGGGAAGCGAATTTATTCACTGCTAAGTTGATTAATTAATACAGAAATTCCATTTACCCAGATTAAATATCAAGGACGAATATGGTCAGCGATTTCAGCGAAATTAATTTTGTTCTCATTTTCGCTTATACTCGCACGCTCATCGTCTTCCACAATGACCCTTTGTTGACGTAGGAAGAAAATTATGTAAAATTATGTATTTTTGAACTGAGCCGTTGGGAGCACAGACGACGGAAACCAAGCCGAGGATTATAACTACGGACGTACGGAAATCTCTGCTGACCAACTGTATGTTAAACTGTGATTCGCGAGCATACTCCCAACTGCCCCAAGGATTTTTGGCTCATCGGCGGGTTTTTATTCGAATCGATGCACACAGATTACAAGAGAATAATTGTTTGGCAATGCCGATTGATTTTGCCTCATTTATTTATTAATAATTGCAATTCGGTATTTTAATTAAGTTAATTTAATAATTTTCTTGCCAAATATTTTCTGTGTGAAATAAGTCTTTAAGTTGTTATCTGTAGTGGCCTCCATTGGATATTCCTGTAGGAGTGTCAATGTGTGTTAAAAGAGTTCGTCTTTTCTCTGCCAACATCTCACGAACTGAGTCAGGATTCGAAGTTGATGTGAATCGGTTATCGCTCTGACACCTAGCGGTGTGTTGGTCGATATTTAGTATCATTCTGACACGTGTAAAGTGACTAGAGATTCGCACGCTCAAAACCTGTGAAATTATCCATCTCGAAAGTTTCATCGCCTGTGGCCTTGCGGGTGGTTACCACCGTTTTGGAGTAAAGTGTCGCCTCCAGCTTCAGAGTTTCATCAATGTGAGAACCTCAAATCTTTGAATGTTTAATTTTATTCTACAAAACTTTCATGGGTGTAAGTAACTGATTTTTAGAGCAAAATCATTAGTTGTGTGGGTCGTTACCTATTGGCGTGCATGCAATACTGAACAGTTAAAACAATTTTTGCCCATCGTGAATATACGTATGTGTCACTTATAACCATTTTGCGCCAAAGCCTTCTATTGTTCTTAATCTTTTGGCATTATAAATAAGTAGCCACTCATGAATAATCAATGAGTAGCAACATTTGTGACGTAACTCTGAGTGTGGACGAAGGAAGGAACTCGGCTGTTTTATGCATATCCAGCTAAGCTACAGCTGTAGTTTTGGGCAGAAGAACGCATAAAGTGTGGGGAAAGAGGTTCACTCTGTCCAGCACTTCACTCCCATTTTACCTGCCCCAGGGGGCTTGGGCTCCCTCCTTTTGCCACAAACTAGCAGCACGTTGGGAATAACAGTAACCACCTATCGGCAGTTCTACTCGGCAA